GGGGGGAGGGCTGGATTCTTTTTGTTGGGGTGAGGAAGGTGGTATGAAAAAGTTGATGCTGAACTTTTTGTCCACATCATTACTCCACGTCATCGTGTTGTGTTGAAAGTTTCTCCATGAAGTGGGACCCAGCGCCAGGTAGGTTGATTATATTTTTCAACAAAGTGGGAGTGTAAAGATAAGGGATGAATTAAAAGAGATAAAGCTGGAAAAAGGAAGGTCTTTTCTAAGTTTAGTTTAATATCAAATCTGGATTAGCTTTTTCCTAAAGTATTTGGCTTTTCTTTAATCAAGATTGAGATTGTGCTGACACATCATGTTCTTGTGGTTTTAATCCTTAAGGGTGAAGCTCCAACATTTTCTTTCCCTTCTTCTTGTTCCTCTTCTTCTCTCCTTATTTTAATTAAATAGCAATAACATGACGAAAAATTCATTTTTATATGGTATTTATATCAAATTAAATAATTTAAAATTAATAACAATAAATATCAATTAAAAATATAATTAATGATTAATGTCATATAAGAAAATTAAAATAACAGATATCAGACTAAATTTAAAACTAGAAGTTAGTATATTCTATACAATTATGGTAAGATGGTCTACTTCTATTTCCTACCTATCTTGATCATTCTGGTTAAAACTAATAGACTTTTGATAATAGTGGCGAGCCAAGAATTTCTCCAAGGGAGTTCAAATTTTTTTTTAAAAAAAAAAAATTTCGACAAAGGGTGTTCAATATATATTATATACCTCTAAAACTATATATTTACTTTTATACACAATGCAGTTTTTCTACGAAGGGTTGTCAATTGACTACTCTTGATAGGCTATAGCTTCGCCCCTTATTGACAATTCTACGTTTAGTTATAATTATAAAGACTTGTTTGTCAATTCCTATAGGATTCATATGCGAGTAACAGCTGTTTCTCCAAAATTAATCATTAATACACTCTAAATCTTAGTTAAATGACATTTTTCTCTTCTTTAGCTCATGTAAATAAATTATTAGACGGTATAGAAATGATTGCACATATTGCAGGGCACATATTGCATCTCTTAACAATGATGATGCTCACATTAAGGAAAAAAAGAACTTCCATATATAATCAGACGTCTTATACCCAATTAACTTGAATACCAGATCAAAAGAGATAGGAAAAACTAACTGTCCTTTTATACGAGAGCAAGCCACCAAAATTTATTAAAAATAAAATAAAAGAAGAAAAGGTAAAGGGAAATAAAAGGGTTTTTCTCCCTACAGTAACGGAAAAATTATTGACTTGACTTGAATAAGGGGAACAAAGAAAACCATAAAAAGAGATAAGAAATTTTTGGAGTGACATAAAAGGGGATGAATTTGATACTTTAAAGCTGGATGCTTGTTATGGTAAATGCTATTCCATTTGGCTTACTTTAATCAAAGTCTTTGCTTTTCAAGCATCTAATATTTTTATTTCATTTTTAATTGTGCCATCTTTTTCAAAATCAATCAGAATTTTTGCAATGTGTTGTTGTCTGGGTAGCTTTCAGTTCATAAATTACTAATCAAATGAAAAAGTAGAGTACTTTTTTTAAATTTTCAAGAATATGGTGTTACCTTTAATAAAGTTATCTTTTTCCTTTTCTTTGATCAAAACTGTTTATTACTATTACAAAAGTAAGAGCTTCTTCATTTCCAACACAAAACTTTTCTTTTATTCAAAACTAAAATGTAGATAAACAAGCATTCTCGTCCTTTACATGGAAAAGATATATGCACTTTTGCTTTATGGGTTGCTTTTAGGGTCTGATTAAAAAAAATTAAAAAGGTCGTTGGATAGAATATTCAATCTTATGGTTGTAATTACTTCTTCACATTTTCCACTTAGCTGCAGTACAGTAACTAGTATAAATAGCAATATATATGCCCTTGTATTATATATCATGGAGGCTATTTAAAGGATATTTTCTATTTGTTTGTTGCATGATTTGCCAGAGATTATTTTATCCCTATTGAGCTGTATATATAATCTATTCTAGAAAAGCTTATCAGAGGATACGATTTCATTTATTTAATTTCATCATCAAGTGTATAGATTTCAACCCGATTGTATAACAACTATATCATCTTTTAAGAAGACATTTCTTATATATTTTTGGTGTGCCCAAATATCACCACAAACAAAAGTTGGGATGCCCAAATATCACCACAAACAAAGGTTGGGGTGCCAAATATCACCATCTAACACCATATACTAGTTTCAAAAAAGGTAAAAGAAAATAAAAGAAGCTAAACTTATAAAAAGCACATTAGGGGGTGTGTTGGAAAGGCTAAATTGCATGTTGTTGATAACCAAGTTGCTTAAATTAATCAAAGGAAAGAAAGAAGTCTTTACTTTCCCTTTCTTTCTTTTGTTTATTTATTCGTATCTTCTTCTGTAATTAATGCTATTTTCCTCCAATCAAGGCCAAGTTGAGACTTCGGAATGCATCATCCTGATTAAAAAATAGTTAACGATATAACTGTTGATATTGTAGAAGATAAGAGTAATCTGTTCTTGATACATGCATCTTATTCAGAAGATATTTCTTTGTTTTTAGGTCCTATTTAATTATTGTTGGCGAATTTATCACGATATTAGCTAAAACACATGCCTTTTTAGGAAAGAAACAGATAAGGTTTAATGGGGTCCTTTTATGCCACAAAAATTTCTCGTCCTATTGCTTGGTCTCGTACTTGTTCGGGAAACTTTTTTTTCTTGGTATTTTAAGTGATCCGCAGATAATGTTCTATTTTTTTATTTTTTTTATTTTTTTTGTGGGGGGGAGGAGGGGATTGATCATCCAATATTTCGATCTTCTGATCTCTTATACTTGCTAAGTGGAAATTCAAACTTGGTCTCCTCCTTCAAAGAAAATGATAATTGTGACAGTTTGATAACATAAAATACTTTTGTTCTTTGCTTTTTCTGCCATATTAACTGCAAAATTCAAAGACCAGGAACGTTACACCACATCATAGAAACACCAGCTGAAAAGAGGGACAAATTTCACATTACAATATAATTTAGTTGCCTGTCCTTCAAGGCAAAAGGTATTGCATTTTGTTTGTGTTGTAAAAAATTCAAAGAAAAACGAAGTAGCAGAAAACAAGGAACATCCTAAAAGAAACAAGAAAGCCAGTCGAAGGTGTTGTTCTTACGCAAGCTCAGTTCAATTCTGCGTAAGTCATGCCCAAAAGTCAATTTCAAAGCTCTCAAGCAAAAGTTTTCCACCTAGTAATATTAGCTATCCAATTAATGAATATGAGCAGCCCTCGAGCAAAAGTTTTAAGGTTGTATTTGTCCAAAAACTCATCCCGCTACTTTTTTAAAAAATTGTTTAAGCATCTGGCGTTTCAAAACCTACTTGTCCAATTAATTTAGAATCGCACTACAGGTTAGGAGTGTTTCTTATTGCAAAAGTTGTCCATGTTAACGTCTCCGACCCGGTACTTCATGAAAGAATCTCTAGCTATGCCACCACACGCCTTAATGGTCATCAAGCTACTTGCCTTGTCTATAGGTGGGTGGCTATCCTGTTTTCGTAGAGCAACTAGAACATAAGTTGGGTTGCAACTTGCAGATTTGCTATATTTTTGGTGCAAGTTGCCACGGCTCTCGGTGTTTGACCCTAATTTTCAGTGTAGATCAGCAGAGCGGAAGTCAGTCAAACACAATACTAAAGCTATATAAACAAATAGTAGTAAGCCTTTTCCCCATGATTCCAGCATAGAAGCAAACGACATGGTCAGAATCTTTTTGAGTC